TTGTCCGGTCAGCTGACACGATGACCCGGTCAGCCGTTGCCTCGGGGTGCACACACGTGTGCTTGCAGCTAGTGGGTCACAAATCAGGTCAATTGCTTCCAAAATCGTTGCACGAGGACATAAAATGTCATTCCGCAATCTGACTAAGCCCAACCTCGCCTTACATGCTAACTGATTGGCTGAGATTGGGAGTGAAATCTGGTACCGGAGGCATCGGGAGGGTGCAGCGAGATCGGTAATTCGTAAATAATTCTCACATTCGAATGCCACCACCCTTTTGTTAATTTGGCGATAAGTTAAGCGCTCTATCGATTCTGAGACAGGCAGGAGTCATGAATAAAACTGCTTGGGCAACTGGCAGAAATCTGTTTTTTTGCACATGTTCGATTTCGTACTGTTCACCATGGACAAATATGGCCCAGACCACGATATTGCCTGTGTTTCCCCGAGTCATATCCCATTACATTCTCCTTGGTCGATGGTTTGGTCAAATGTGGTGAGGGAAGTGCTCGCTTACACCTTGTCGAGTGTTTGTTTGTGCGAAAGTTAGTTCTCCGAACCACCGACCAATGATGACGTTGTGGGATGGGTTTCTGGCGCAAGAAGTGTTGTTTAAATTGGTGAAGAGACGATGCGCGTACTTTTACCTCAAGGCACGGACAACTCCAGCAAAGGAGAACGTGCAGATGTGTGCTTGTCGATGGATGTGCAGACATTGCTTTGTGGCTTTTTCACTATCATCCTTACATTTTCGGAAGCTGTTGTGGCGTGCTTCAGGATGATATCGATTCTGTCCTGGTCCAAACCACCACAAACTCCCCCAGCTGATTCGCCTGGTCCCCAAGCCGTATTGTGCAATACGACGGTCGTAAAATTGCTGTAAGATTTTTATTATAGTTGGTTCTGATTCAAATACTCTTCCACATTTACGCACACCTCGAATTGCATGCGTAAATAGCTAGAGGCTAGTGCCAAGGAGGTCTTTGCAAACTCCTTAGAATACGTGATCTAATGACGTCTGTAAAGATGGTCGAAGTTGGGTTGAATACAAAGCCAGTATTTTCAAAAGAATGTCTAGCCTTCTACCGGATCCACACAGGCTTTGAAGTTGATCGGACACTTATGAATGTCCGGATTGCAGACGTAATGGCGATTCGATCCCGATCCAGCCGCTTCTGATTCTGTTCTTCAAAGTGGCTTTAATCACTAATTTGTCTGAATTAGGTTCGACTTTTTGGATGGGCTTAACCACCCTTGATTGCGGTGCAGCTCGTGGTTAGTGCAGCGGATCCATCGGCATAGACTCGGTCTGGTGAAATTTTGTTCATGTGGGTCTGCTAATAGCCCTTTAAGCACGTGACGAGCCCTTCCTCCTCCTCTTTCCTGTCTGACAACATGCGGAGTACATTTTCGCATCTCGACAAGATGTAAAACAGTGATATCTCGTGGAACAACTGCTTCATTGACTACGCTGTCCTTTCAGTCGATTTCACTTAAAGAGAGTTGCACATTGAAAGACCTCGCTTTCTACAAAGAGGTTTGTTACCTATACGAAGTTCTTCTGTGTCCTGTACACTCAAGTTTGGAATGCTAGGACTCCTAGTTTGCAAAACTGGCGAGTGCGCGTCGTAGGTGGGGTACCTTGCATTCTGGTGTATATTTCGACATCAACAGACAAGAACGAATCGATGGTCGTGTCTAAGAGTAGGATCTTATAGACTAGAAACTAAGTGCTGGCGTTAAGATAGCCCAAATTCGTTTACCTAATGGGGGCCCTTTGATCAGAGCCATCTAGTTGTTTATTGAGTCTGGGCGTGTTCGAACAGCACCTGAGACTCGAGGTCAGCCTCAATTTCAGGAGATGAAAAAAAACGCCCTAACGGACATTCGCGTGTGACCCTAACTGAGGGCTGAATCAGAGGTGTATGTTGCAGCCGACAAAAAGGTCCATTTCCGGACGCGGTTGCCCCACAGGCCAACGTCTACTGAGGTGGTGGTGGTGGTGGTGGTGGGTATGAGTCACCAACCCAGGGCGGTTGCCACGTGGATGGGAACGGCCGGGTGTGTACACACACAGTCACCCCCACACCCTGCCCCATCCCTGGCGTGCTTCTTTGCCTCCAAAACCCGCTCCCCCCGGCTGCCACATCCACCACGGACACGTGAATGCCACGAAGGCCACGTGGACGTGGGGGCAGCCTCCGCAATATGACAGGCGCTTTGGCATACCAGAAACTACCGTCGTCTCTATGGCGGGGCTGAAAACTTGGTAGCGAAATGGCCACTAGGCGGTAGTACGTAGGCGTCTCTGAGTTCAACACCCTGTCCACGATATTCTGTAGTCGCGTGCCAGATTTGTAAGCTACGACATGATTTGGTTTGCGGAAACGTAAAGCCTCCGTTAAAGACTTTATTTATTATTTGGTCCCTGATGGATGATTCGGACCTTTTGCGGCAATTCTCTTAATTTTAAAAATCCTGAAAATATGTTCTTCAATTTCTTTTCAATATCAAAGACAGACTAATAGTAAAGTAGGTTACATTAGTTAAAATTAAAATCACTAATTCAAAACCAAATAATTGATAACATTTTGCTCTGCACACATCAATTCAATTGCCTACAATACAAGCTAAAGCATAATTTCGATTACCAAAAGTGTTTTTGTCCTAGTTGTGCGAGCCTTTGTGCATCAACAACGCACTTTCCAAACGTGTCGCAAATTTGTATTTGAAATCCAACCGGAACTCCTGCAAATGGAGTTATTTATTTACTTAAACATTGGTGCTGTGGCATCACCTAGCTAAACTAGTCATCGATCTTCGGGTACGTTGCACACGGCCAATAGACACGTGCGCACGCCCATCCCTTCCTTCCCACCTCTTCCCTTCGCTCCCCTCCTGCTGTTCGCACGAAAATTGCCCTTCGGTGCGGCCGCGCCCGCCTCTCATTGGCTGGACAAGCTTCTGCATAGGAAGCGATCGATAATCACTTACACTGAACACGTGTGCATGCATGCTTGCAATTGCACACACAGGCAGCTAGGTTTATTCATTATGCGGCTTGGAGGCGAGTTGTGTTGGTCGTAGTAAAGAAACACGGCCGTGACGTAGGAAGCTTTATGCCACATGTTTCCGGGGCGTCTAATTTCAACCAACAAGCATCAGAAAAGCGCGATTTCACATATCAGGCCAAATTATTTTACCTACCACAGCTGAGCAAAATCGATTAATCGGTTGGAGCGTTGTTTAAACAGATTGCCTGTCCATGCCTTAAATACAAAAGGTACCATTTACAAATAATCGGTTTAGTTCCATTATTCAATTTTTTTGAATTACTGGCTGAGATTATGTGGCAATAAACAGGACAGGCAGCAGGAGTCAGCCTACATTAATTGTGTTTAGCACAAATGGTCAACATTTGTTGAAATTTCAATCTTTACCAAATCACCACCGAAATTTGTCTGTTTCCCACGCAAAAGGGCTTCAGTTTTGGAGAAATCACTTGTATATCATTTTAACTTCCCTTTATTCCAATTTAATGCTGCAAGCCATTGGATAGATCTACAGATCCACTTACACCTCACTAAAAACATAGGTTGTTAAAACACCAACTGGAATCGCGACGACTAGGACACGTCTAATTACAATTTCCAAGTTTGTGACGTGCTAATCGCGGTACAATCAGAATGCACTGTTCCAGGCTATTGGAGAACCCCATCCCAGATGACATTTTGCACTCTTGTTTAGCTGAACTGACTCGTAATAAGCACACAATGGACTTGGCGCGGTATTCAACTTCATAGACAGGTTCTTCCAAATGTGACTCCGATTTATAGTTTTGAAGGAGTATTTTTGAAAGCGGGAAATATTAGGTGTGCGGCTTAATTTTTACAGATTTTCACCAATTTTATTTGGTATAAAAGGGTAGAGAGTGACGAACTTTATTGTCACACCGTTTTCTATGACCTTGCGACATCTCTCAGGTAACGCACGATTGCAATGAAGTCGTGGACGAATTCACGCACATCGTCCAGCGTGTTGAACTTTTTATCCACTAAGGCATTATGTTGCATTGATCGGAACAAATGCCAGTCAGATGGGGCCAAGTCTCGTGAAAATGCTGCGTGTAGGAGATTCTGCCATCCCGAGTTCAAGAGGGTCTTCTGGGTCGTGCGGGCAACGTGAGGTGGCTTGCCTGCTTCCTTGCCCAGTAACTGGCCTTTACTGATCACGGTCTTCGCTCAGTTTGTTCAATTGTCGGGTGCAGCGTTGCGAGGTCACACTCTGATCAGTTTTCAGGAGTTCTTAATCAAGCACACTCTTCATGTGCCACCAGATACACAGGAGAACCTTCTTCAAATAGATGTCCTGTTTCGACGTGGATGTACTGGATTGCTCGGGATCTACCCACAACTTTTTACACTTGGGATTCTCGTAAAAAAATACGCTTTTCATCACTCGTCACAATTTTCCACAAGAAATATTTTATTGTAGTAATGCAAGGCATGTGTTTATACGGTGACTTAGTATGTGTTCGGTCAAAACATGTGGGGCCTAAATTCCAAGTTTTTAAATTTTGGAAACAGCTGTTTGCGTGACTCATAACTGAGCAGCAAATTATTGTCGTGTTTGCGTTGAGTTTTCGTCCAGTAGAGCTCGCAATTTCGCGTCTTCAAACTTTTGAGGCTGCTGTCCGAGGCGCGGATGGTCACTACGATCAAAATTACCACTTCCAAGAACTCGACATCAAGAACACTACAAATTGATTCCCCCCGTGCTATGGAAACGTTGGAATTTGTGCAATATCCAGTGTCGAATGTGCTGCTCATCAGTCGTCATAGTAACTCTGCTTTACTGAGAGGTTACGTAAATCACGTAGACTTGTCGTTCGGTGTTGTGGAACCTTGTGTCCAATCCTTTCGAAACCACAAAAACCGCGAAAATATTTATATTTTAAATATAATCTTAAGATCGACAAAAAAGCCTGTGCGAATTAAGTCATGTTTTTTTTTCATTCTAGGGTCTTCTGTACCTTGATGTCGTGCTGCGACCAAGTGCCCTGGTTGTTGGATGAGCCTCGACCTGACGGCTTCACCCCACTTCACCTCGCCGTGCTCTACGGCCACCTGCCGATCGTCGACTGTCTCCTTTCGGCCGCGGTCAACGTGAACGCCGAGAGCTCCCTGATGCTGTCGGGGAGTTCTGGCTCGGCGTTGGGCAACCGACTGACGCCGCTGCACCTCGCCGTGCAGAAGGGCAACGCCGTCATCACGTGCCTCCTGCTGGCCAGAGGCGCCAATCCGTCGGCGGTGGACGCGGGAGGCAAGAGTTCGCTTGACCTCATCCTGCCCTTCCTTCGCAGGGCCGCAGTTGACCTCACCGGTGGAGAGACTGAGAACGCCGCTGAAACCTCTCAACAGTCCGCCCAATCGGTGAGTTTTTTTTAACCGTCTGATGATCGTGGCCGACCACCTAGTAAGCTAAATTGTTGTGTACATTGTTTCGGCCAGGAAACCCCCCAGACGGTAGGAAACAGAATTGAGCTGTCAATCGTACCATTTCTTGCCTCCGTTGCTCGATACCTCGTCATCTCTGCCAGCTCCTTGTCGCCAACACGCTCTGAAGAGTGCCTGCAGACCTTCCCAAGTCCACTGAGGAACCGCATCGAATCGATAGTGCAGACCACACTTAAAAGTGGCATCTCCTCACCCGTCCTCATTGCAGCCTGTCTCGTCGCCGCCATTGGTCTTGAGCCGAATGAAGCAGGGGGAGGGGAGGCTAGATCGGCCCCTGCCTGTCTCTCGTCGCTCGGCGATCCGGTTCTTGAGCTGGCGCTCCATCAGTGCTTCGTTGAGGCTTGCATTTCCACCGCGACCACTGACACCGACAACGACGGAGGTGGAGAAGGCCCGGAGGATCAGCAACAGTCTCTCCTTGGTAGCGAGACGTCCACGCTGAACGACTTCTTTGCCGCCGACAACAGATCAGAACCCCGGGTGCTTCAGTCAGGAACCGGAAGCCCTACAGAATCGTCGATGTCGATAGCCAACTTGTTGGTTCCTTCGGGGTGGACCACGACCAGCGAGCTCTCGCAGCAACAACAACAACAGCAGCAACTACCAGCTGATTTACCTCTGAACCTGCACGAACTTAGTGAAGAGCTAAGAGAGTGCATGGTTTGTTCCAGTCGTGATAGAGCAGCACTCCTCTCACCGTGTGGACACATCGTCGCTTGTCAACAATGTACGCAGCTTTTGAAAAAGTGCATCCTGTGTAGACAACAAGTTGTAACCTACCGCGAGGTGACGAGAAGTTTACCAAATCTATTCACTATATGAGGAATTTGAATTTAATTTTTCGCTTATTTTCATCCAAAGATTCCCGCGTGTCGAGAATGCACGTTTCGACCAGCTGTAACTCTGACGCGTGCCTGTAATCACTTTCTCGTATGTCGAGAGTGCCTCGTTCCACGATTGGCTCGATTGAACCGTGCGCTTGTGGCCGCTGGTGATGACGAGGATGAGCAGACGAAGTCTGATTGGCTGTTAGGCGAAGGAGAACAAAGGAGACACCAGTTGCTCCTGTCCTTGTTTAATACAGGCGAACTCTGTCCGGATGGTGTCTGTCCAGAGTGCGGACAGACGGTCACGTCAGTTTGGAGCTTGGAGGCCGCGGTCAGCGGAGTGGTGGGGGGATCAGCTGAGCGACTTCTTGCCCTCCCGTCCTCTAGTGATGGTGGAACCTTCAGACGCACAACTCTCCAACCAAGTGATTCTCGCGACCTGCTCGTACCTATCGCAGTGTCACAAACACCTACGATATGGGTGGCTTCTGAAAATAACCAAGGTATGTGAATAGTGCTGCAAGATTGCCTCAGTGGTCTTAGCGAAATCCAACTAACCAATTACTGATTACTTGATGTCTTGCAAAATTACACAGGTCCACGAATAAACACTTATGTGTGCTCCAGGTCGTAGTCTTGTTTGAAGGGAGAAAATTTGATCTTCAGTGACCTGATGCGTTGTTAGTGATCGAAAAAGATGCGTAAAGAATAGTAATGCCTTGTACTTTCGTAAGTCGGCAAGTTGTATGACTTCGAGAAACTTGTCTTGCGAATTCAGAAAGCGTTTCCGGCTACCTTGCGTAGACTTAACTTCAGACGTCGGTTACTTGAATACAGCACTTTCCTCACACAGATTCAAGTGAAGTGTCGATGAGTCATGTGAGAAATGGCTAATTTCCACTGCCTTATGCAATCATTTCAATTCACAATCATGTCGCTAGCACATCGAGGCAAGTACTCTCATGCGTTAACTTACGACCTTTATCAGATGCTTACCTGATGTGATGCAAGCCCATGAATTCATGATCCATACATTAAGTGTGTCCTGTGAGATCAATGACATTTTATCTGTTTATGACTTGTGGTTGGACATTTTAGTCACATCTGCCTCTGCCATCACCTCGCCGTGTCTCGTACCCAGGAGCTTATTCAGTGCTTGTCAATCGAGCTCGGTCGTGCGACAGGTGAGTTCTTGGGGGTTTCGAAGTACACCCAGGCATCACTGTGCACACATCGACAGTTGTTAATTACCCTCTTGAGAATAAACATACAACGCGTGTGCATTCTTTCAGACACTGCCTCGATGCACGCAAGCAGGCGGAACGAATGCGCGTCCGAACAACATGCGTCCAAGTGGCGCGCTAATTTCAAACGGACAATCCTCTTCGCGTGAACTGAAGCGCCTCCAGCATGAACTCCAGGCCATGCGCGAACAGGTGGGTTTTTTCGCACACTACACGATGATTCAGAGACAGAAAAAGTTACCTTGTGTGGCTTACACGGAAGATTTCTATTGTAGACCCGATGTCCGATTTGCCTGGATAGATCAAGGAATCTGGTTTTTATGTGTGGCCACGCAACGTGCCAATGGTGCGGCGATCAGGTCTCAGTGTGTCCGATCTGTCGTCGCACAGTCACTGGTCGAATTGTCCTCTACTGAGATCTCATAGGCGCCTCCGCAGTACTCAGCGATCTCATGACTTTATCTTTTTTTCTGTCTGCATTTCAAAGTAGTATCGTGTGTTTTTTTTAAATTTATTTAACTATCATTTTCCCAGTTGTTCTGAATTTTATGTTGTAACCCTATGTGCAATATTTTTGATTGTTAATCCTTGAGAATGGCAAATAAATGTAGAGGAACTTATGTGCTGATGATGTTACGAATATATAATTTCTCTTTCTATTTCATATTTCCAATGAGCAATAAGTACGCAAACACGATTGTGGGGTAGCGTTACACTCTTAATATATCGAACTCAATTGAGTAATATGCACTGCTAGTATCTTCATACTGCATTTTCGTGGTTCCATCAACCAAAACATGCAAATTTACCATGTTATTTTTAATGCTTTCTGTTTTTTAATTCGATTATTTCACACGCACCACCAACAATTCGTTCATTAGGTGTGCAAATTGCATATTTAATGTCTGTCTTTACTAAAAATGTTATTAGTTTAATGCTAGTTGTTGAAGTCGACAAATGTGAATTGTTGAACGTCCCATTAAGTTTACCATTGTTTGATCGCGCACCTCAGGGCTATGATTATTACCGTCGAAATTGCTGCAAGCATTTGGAGGTAGTCGCCGTTTACGACATCACTTTTGTTCCAGTGTCAGCAGATTTCTTTACTGGAAATATTTTAAAGGACAAGAAAGGAAGAAACCACTTATTAGACGGCCAGGCTCAAGCTGTTTCGGTAATCAGGCAAAGAAATATTTCCTATGCAAACTTGTAAAAATGATTTGGGTCAAGCTAAGGAGAGTTTGTATATCGGACTGCGGCGGTCAGCAAGCAAACACGAAATCTGTCGATTTACTTAAATTAATTTGGCGCAGCTATGTTCGCTCAGAGATAGATGTTAAGCGATCGTATATAAACTGACACCATATTACCTCATAAAATTTCTCTATTACTGCAGGAACAAATTGGTTAAACTACTGGCTATCTGTGGTTTCCTCATAGATTTGATTTGACCTAATCAGTGCAGGTTGCTTTAACACTGTGTGGTTCGATGACCACTTGGGGAGGCCTCATCAGGACTAAAAAAATTGTGCCAATATCAAGATGGATCAAACTATCCTATAATTTTTTACTTGATAACCCATGTTGATTTAAAAACATGTTCCTCCCTACAGCTAATAGTATTTTATGAATGTGCATACAATATAGCATTGCACAGGGTCGTCGTTTTTGAGACGAGTTCAAAAAATAAAACGTGATCGAACGTACTAATTAGGTTCGACATAAACTGAAGACAGTGCAATGATAAATTCATGTCTCTAAAACTTTTCTCAGTACTGAAAAGCAAGCATCGAGTTTTATTATGAAAGTTTGGAATTATTTTTTAATTGATTATAATTAAACAACGTTTCCGTAGAATTATGTTTGCTTAACTTGAATATAATTTGTTTGGTAAACAACTCTTAATAAAACGGCAAGGATGCGTTATTACAAACTATTAAAACTTTTATTCGATTTAATTGCAAAATCTAGAACTGACATTTTAATGACATCGAATTAAACTAACGAGCTTCTGGAGTTTGAGACAGTATGATGAACAAGTTAGGGACGACAATTAGTCAGAAAAAAATGTAATTTATTTCATTTACATCATTTAGTTCAAATACCACTTACTTTTTTACTAATCAGTGAGTGTATAGTTGATTTTAGTTTATTTCCAGCTTAGGGATAGCTAAGCACTGCTTGATCTGTACATTCTTTAACTGAACTTTTCTTAACGAATAATGTGTGAATTGGTTACAATTCGCATGGTCAAGAAATATGGACAATGCACTTTTATTAACTGCGCAAAAGAAAGTAAAAACATGCTGTCACGATTTTTAATCTTTCAAAGACATGCGTCTAGTAGCAGCCTAAAAATGATTCAATTCTACTGACTAGAACTTTCTTTTTATTTTCAAATTGAAGACAACATTGAAGATTGTACTGAAGCGTAAATAACTTGGGATGGAAATATCTGAAATGCATTCACGCTTCATTTTTCTAAAATGGTGACTAGCACTACTTAAATATTAGAAAAAGAGGAAAGTCCTTACAAGTTCTATTGCATTTTATAAAATGCTACAGCAACGAATGTTGGAAAAATTGGGCAGTATTAGTTTTAAACATTTTTGACCAATTGCGCATTAAAGGTGTAAGCAGGCGACTTTTATTTTTGTTTTTTAATGTTTTAGACCAGATAGACTCTTAAACACGTTTTTTAAACCTTATAAAGCAAATAAATTTCACAACCTTTACTTTTGTTTTAACAATGTAAATAAGTAGTATTGTAAATTGAGGTCTTTCGAGCTGCCGGAAAACGATTTTTGTTCATGACTTTACTTAAACTTCGTATCCAAACGTTCTTTATAAATTTTTTAATTAGTCTCCAGACATTTGGTAGCGTCATTAACCCATGGTCTGGATGTCCACGCGATAGACAACTCAGATCAGGCAATTGAAATGTCAATTATTTGAGATTTTGTAGACTGTCCCACTGGCTGGATACCATTTGACACCAATTGCTACGTTTTTGTCAACTTCCCACTTGCAACATTTGATAATGCGAGGTCTGACTGCGTGGTACGTTGCTTCGCTACGCCTCACCCGCTTCTAGAGCAGAGGTGCGCAATTGCTGCGAATCGGTAACTTGGAGGAACATCAATTTATAGGCAACTGGCTTGAGCAAAATTCTCTTGACAGAAGGTTTTTATTCTGAATGTATTATCTTTTAGTTTGCGCTGGTATACATCTGGTTCTATGTTGATGTCTCCATTTGGCGAATTTGTGTGGTCAGGATGGCCCCAAACGATGCAATCGATTAGTCCAACCCTCTATCAACTCTGGTTTGATCAGCCACCGAAACCCGGAGATATGCCATCATTTCCTACATCCCGCAATAAACTTGTTTATGGGACAAATGGAACTGCGTGGGGTTGGTTTATCGATACTGCAACTGTCGCCCGCCCATTTATTTGCCAAGCCCTTGTACAGAATGCAAAAAACCTGCGACCAAATGGTCGTACTATTGATTTTGGCCAAGATGATACAGTTCCCATATCTAGAGGACCTTGTTTTGTTGATCAACCCAAAGATGTTTGGTAAGTTCTGACTTTTGTGATTAGTGAAATGATTTTACAGATTTGATACGAAGTTGCATGGTTTCATTTTTAAGGTTTGTTACCGGAATTGTGGTAGAAAACTTTGTTTCGTTCAACTGTTACGCGAATGGAAATCCGACACCAAATTATCGTTGGTACAAAATTGGTCTGATGTCAAGCGCCACTGGAGTGGTTCCGAGGCGGACGCTAGTGGAGCCACTAAATTCTACCACCGGTCGCATTTCTACAAGTGGCGGAAATCTGGTGATACAAAATCCGATAGCAACATTAGACTCAGAATATTACCAGTGCGAAGCTTACAACACTTTCGGGAGCATTCTGAGTCGGACGGCAAAGATCGTGTTTGGTCAACTGGAAACATTCCCGAAACACCCACGCAGGACGAGAAAGGCTTGGGCTTATCAGAGCGTTACTTTGCCATGTGATCCACCTGCCCATTCTCCTAGAGATAGTAGGTTTATATGCGTTACAAATTACTTAGCTCAAACTGTCAGTATAAAACATGGACACTCGCTGAGGGATTTTACACAGGCCTTTGAATAAACATAAATGATTTTAGTGTGTGTATAACTTATCTTTTTGGGGAGCACACTTGACATACTTATTTTACTTTAATTGTAATGTTTGTTCAAATGTGTTTTGTATTCTTTTTGATTAAAGGTCTAATCTACTCATTCTATATGCGAAAGGGCCTTAGTCTTGAGCCGGTTGTGCTGTCCGCTCGTCCGGGTGTCTTTGTTTCGCAGGCACAAGCACTTATTGGTTTTTCGGAGGCAACTTCCCAGGTAGGAAAAGTCACAGGTTATTCTCCCAAACCAGCGCTTCCTGACACTTACTTATTCGCCAACATTAGCCTTATGTTTTATAATTTCAATGACCAAAAGGCACCTTAATCTAGTCTCTTGAATTCTCCTCTAAATACAACGCTTCAGTCATTCGATTACAGGAAAATGCTTGCACTGAAATGTTGAGTAAATTAATTTCTAATTTACCCATTTAAATGTGTATCAACATGTAGGGGAAATTACATTTTATAATCAAACGTGTTTACATTTCCCAGGATTCTGGAGTGTATGTCTGCATGATAACCATGTACCAGTTGGGTTCTCGCCTAAGCGACTCCCCCAAGTCTCCCGATATGCCACTGGTGGTAATGGAGAGCAATCAGCGGACACAAGAGCCTCGTATTTACGATAGTTTCCCGTCAATTTGGCCCAGTGACCCAATCCGAGGTCACTCAGTACGGATTGAGTGCTTCGCCGGTGGCAGCGTGCAGTCGGGGCCACTGCAGTACGCCTGGCGACGGGTACGTTTTGTTCTATCTGATCATTCAGAGTTGATGTACTCGAGTAGACTGATTAAATGAAACGCCTGGTGTACTGAATGGTTTTTCTATTCTTCTATCTTAGCTCGATGGGATAGCAATACCCTCGGATCGCCTTAAAGAGCTCAACCGGGTGATTGAAATCCCTCAAGTACAACCCGAAGACCAGGGCGTCTATGAGTGCAGCGTAAGTGAGTCGTTACTCAGATTTTATACCCGGTTGGATTAAAACCTTTATCTGCATTAACAAGACACGAATGAAATCATTGTCTAGATGCTTAAATCTCTATGCTTGATTTAAAAGGTACATCATCATCCTAAGCACGATTACTCACTCAACAACAGCAGAAATGACAGTGAAGGCTTTTGCATTCGTCAGTATTTAACAGGATAATTGGTTAGGCACGTGTTAAATGAACACCCTACAGCCTCAGATGACGTGAGTACAACATTTGTTCAAGTTGATTTAAAGTTCAAATTGTTTCCAGGAATTCGAACGCTGGCCACAGCCACGTAACGATTGGTCTACAAATCAGCTGTTTGATCAACCACCACTTTTGATGGTGGCAGATTTGTGTTAAGTAATCCAGGGCTATGTGATGCAACTACTCAAATACCAGACTCGACGGGTTCTTAGTTTAGAAGCTAAGAAGTCTGCTCTAGTGCAGAACGTCTTTACAAGAAGTAGCCAACACGGTCACATGTTAACTCTCAACAATTTCTCACTTTATTAGGTAACAGACTCGATGGGTAGTCAGGCACAGCCAAGAACGGTCAGTCTGAGGATAAAAGCGGTCCCCTACTTCACCAATATGGCGAAGGACGAGATTGTCTCCGTCGGCGACACCGTCACAATGGTCTGTGAGGCCCAAGGCATTCCCGAGCCGTCCCAGTTCTGGTACAGGAACGGAATTCGTGTCAGCGAACTCATCAGTACCAGCGTCCTTGACGCCACACGGTATCGTCTGCAGGATGGAACGAAAGATCCGGCTTCCCTCGTGATATCAAATGTAAGCACGGTTAAATTTTGGACTTGGTTCCTGTGTGTTCTCACTAGACTGAACTGAAACTCAGCGGGAATAAAAAATCAAAACCACCAGACTCAAACACAAACGCATGCACCTAAATTGTACCAAATTAATCATGCAAACATTTTTATAGGAAATCGATGTTTCACTAACTCCAAATTTGTTGTCGTTTTGAGGTTGGTTAAAGCCTTGAGAGTAAATATCGAGGATAATTACTAACATTTGAACTAGCCAAGTTAATGTATTCATTAATAATCTGCAGTACGTGATAATTTACGATCTACCAGGAGATTCAGGTACTCAAATGACTAAACACGCCGTATTTCCCAACCAGTTCCAACAAATGAGCAAAATAAATGACTTTTACACTGTAATGAGGATATCGGATTGTGTATCAGTAGATTTTATCCACTTAGTGCCCTGTAAGGCGGTTGTCAGTTTGTTCTTGGATAGAACAATGCCTAGTTCTATGAGGTAAGGCTTTGTGGAAAGCATTTGTTAGACGAATCTTCCTATGTCTGTTAAAACGGAGGACAGAAAAAGTTCTTCCTTCCGGATTTTTGGAATGATGTTTATCTGGGAAATCTAATTTTTGATGAATTAAGGAGTCATGTGTTCTTGAAAAGGAATCATTTTAGAGGATTTAAAGTGTTGGATCTAGATGGTAGATTTTCAACTAGTCTGAATCATATCCTTCTGACACATGACCGTTTACTGATTAAATTTAACCTCTGTCTATCATTGGAACTTCCGAAAGTTCGTTGATTTCGACCTTGATTATTGGATTTCGATGCCCGAAAGAGAATTAATCACATCTGTTAAAGTCATTTGCACACGCAGGTCGTGGCGGGTGATTCGGCGATGTTCGACTGCCTCGCCGTGAACAGTCTGGGGAGCGTGTCGTCCTCGGGTGAACTGCGGGTGCTGGCGTTCGCACCCACCTTCCAGAAGAACCCCATGGTGCCTGTGCTGGGGATGGTGGGGCAGAGCACCGTGATGACCTGCCAACCCGAGGCCGCGCCAGATCCCGTCGTCTCGTGGTTCTTTCAGGGCTCTCCGCTCTCCCCCGTCCCCAGCGTCATCGACCCTAGCACTGGTGAAACCACCGTGAGCTACAGTAACTCCTAAGATTGAAACTCAGACGGTGAATGCCGTCTTAAGCGCTCTTCTCAATTCTGCTAAGTCATTGGAACGAATTTCCGGATATAGTAGTGGCAGATTCTGGTTTTGCTTCAGCGCAGGCTCGGTGACATCTTGCAGTGAATAGTGTTGACTCACTTCCATCAACTCTGTCGCCGCATACTCCGGCATACCGCTTCTCGTCATGGCGTGCACGTCCAATCACACTCGCTGAGCATGTACATCCTCAGATTTCAAGGTCACACGAATTGAATGGTCAACAACCACATCATTCACGCACCACCTTTGAAGTCACACGCACGACAGTGCACAATTAGGTTGAGCTGTCCAATGAACGGTGGTGTCCCCACCATCTTCCAACATAGCGGGCCCGTTGCGGTTCATGATGGGGCCTTCAACAGCCTCCGTAGTATGTGGTGATAAGTAGTCATGTTCTTCGTTGCCAACATCAACACAACGAGGTGGACACAACTAATTTCTGCCCTCAGTGCACGATGTGTGCTTGTGTGGGTATGCAGACTGTTAGTTTGGAGTCGTAGAAGCTATTCGTCGTATCAAAAACCTGTTTAGACAAACTTCTAGCAATGAAGCTTGATTACTCATTTAGTGTCCGTCAACTTACTGCACCCTGCCCAGTGGGAACTTGTTGATAGCACAGCTGACGCGAATGCAGGAGGGCCTCTACGAGTGCCGCGCGCAAAACCAGTTCGGCACTGCCAGCACCTCTGCCCACCTCACTGTGATTGATGCGTTGTCAATCTCGCTGCAGCCACAGAACATCATCGTGGACGTCAACTCGACAGTCATTGTGCCCTGTAAAGCGATTGTCAGTTCGTTCTTGGACGTCAACTATGCCTGGTTCTATGAGGTAAGGCTTTGTGGAAAGTATTTGGTAAACCGTTCCAACATAATTAGACAGTTTCCAACCTTCAAAAGTCGACTTAAAATGGGAAAAATGCCTATGCTATGCAATTGAAACTTGTGCTAATGGTTACAAGGACCCCTTCTCATTGAATTCTACCCTGCAGGACGTGGAAATAAAGTTCGACCGTCTAGATTTGGACGCCCGACGCTACGACAAAACCCAGTTCTTTCGACCCTACGATCGTGACTTTGGCTTCCTGCACATCATCAACATCCAGCTCTACGATGCCGGTCGCTACACCTGCGAGGCCCAGACACCCCTCTCACGCAACCGTGTGACCGCCTACGTCCTGGTCGCCGGCCCACCTGGACCCTGTGCGGGTGAGTTCTCCTCCTTTCATCATCGATTTGCAGGTCGGTAGGTAGGAACCGATGAGTCTACCACCATCCCCTCGCGGTAAATCGCTTCTGTAGCTGCTTTGAATGTTCAAGCATTAGCGTTGACGTTAGACAAATCGAATCCAGGAAATACGATGCGGTAGCGAATGTCAGTCTATTAGGTGACACAGGTGGATGTGGCTACTCTGCGCAAGAGATCTTTGCTTATCGCTAGCAAGTTACATTCTTTGATGTTTCAATCTGTAAGCTGACAAATTGGCAACGCCGACTAAGGAATGACTCTCAGGGCTACTTGGAGGTTTTGTCGCGTGACTGATTGTTTTTAAAACTTAGATAAGCGGCGTCATGGATCTTTGATGAAATTTGAAGTCTCGTGACGTTGTTGAGGATCTAGGATTGTGTTGAAATGGGTGCTGGGCTCACAAAGAGGCCTATTAAATGAGTAAATTGATTATGTGTTTGTCTCTCCAATAGGTGTTGAGGCCTCAACTATTCCTGACACTGAATTAGTCATGGTGAACTGGACCAAAGGCGCGGATCACCTCCATCCCATCCTCTACTACATAATCGAAGCCAAAGTCGCGGATGAACCCTGGTCTGTCGTGGTGGCTCGCCTCGATGAATCGCCAGACATCGAAATTGGTAGGTTGCGGGCTTGTGACGGCCTCATTATCAGTGGGTTTCCTAAACTCATCTCTCCCTGAAATTCCATTTCCGCCATTCATTTTGTTTAGATTTTTATGTTATATTATGACACCCCATGCACGAAACCCAGGTAGGTGTGAAAAACGTGCATTTTATCACAGATATGAGCCTTAAAACGTCTTGGGATCTATTCAAATCAAACAGTCATAGCTTCTTGAACCTTCGGTGGGGATGGTTTTGGACAGAATAGTCAGTGTATGGTACCCGTATTTGGTGACCATCTGCTTCTTCATGGACGTCTTCTTTCATTTAAAAAGTGACCCGATCCCGTTGTTTCGTGTGTGGATTTGTTTCGAAGGTTTTAGGCGTGGTAGGCATGAAAATGACATGCAAACCTGTGAAAACGATGTGCTGGACGTCGTCAAGATGCACAACTGACAAACGTAGCGGAGCATAGTGTGGGAAACTCGGCCTTGTCCTAAGCGAAGTAGCCAGATTTGATGGCCTGGTGGCAACTTGAGGGTTGAGCGTCTCCTTGTAAAATACCCACAGAACTCTAGGTTCACGAGATTCCAGGAACCATAGAGAATAACTGAAGCTCAACTGTCAGACAGGTAAATAAGGACAGATGGGGGAGGGCAATGTCTACTTTGATGCCTTTATGACTGTAGGTTCAATTAACTTGAAATTATTACTTTTGAAGTAGACCTCCTTGGTGCTACTTCAACGTCCCAGTTCTGAAAAATGCAAAGACAATGAGTTGGTTAAATCGGAACGCGAAACAGTTTGTTGGTAAGATGAAATGGGGGGTTGAAATAGCACCCTTCAGTTCGTGCAGGATATTCTTATTTTGGTTTCAAGGTCAAAGTACAAACCGCCGGACAACTACGATAGGAAATCTCTACTCCAATATACTATACCATCTGCGTGTTCTGGCTGCCAACGCAAAGGGAGTTGGCGAACCCTCAAGACCCTCGCGTGGAATCATCACCCTGCCGAAGGCGCCCACGAAATTGGTCCAAAACGTCACTGGAGGAGGTGGCAAACAGGTACAAGTCAAAAAATGCAGGATTAGCTTCAACTGGGTTGGTCAATTAGAGCCTCTGCTCTGCTTTTCAGTCCAAACAGCTTTTGCAGTAGAAGGTGATTCGTTAGGATAGTAAGAGGTGCTGTATTTGTGTGCTCTTAAAGGGAACGCTTGTGGTGAGGTGGGAACCGCTGCCATACTTTGAGCATAATGGAGACGGTTTCCACTACATTCTTCGATGGCGGGCCTGGGAGGACACGGAGTTCACCGAGGTGCACGTGTACGACCCCCCTCAGGTGTGGAACTCGACCATGGTGCAGCACACGGTCAGCCTACCGGTCGAACGATTCTACAAACCATACGAGGTCACAATTCAAGCAGTGAATAATCAGGTGAGTTGCTGTGATAGGAGGTGAATTCACGCGAAGCTGATTCTTTGGAGTTCATGATGAGACTACGCTCATCACTGCAAAATTGGACCATGACATCATGTTCAGAAAACGGGCAGCCAAATAGACAACACTCACTTTTATGCAAAACAAACCACGGTCTTGATTGATGACATGATTTTGAAAAAAAATCAGGATTGTGGCACATGTTCAACAAGTTGACATTTAGCGAATCTGAGTGGACTGTAACGGTCATTGTCGAGAAAGCAATTCTTGTCGGTTGCACCTATGGGAGAGAGAAGTATTGTCTTCGTTGATTCGGTTGCTTTATCACTAGTGTACATGACGTTCGGTTCACTTCGGTGGAGACTAGAACAAATCACGTGGCTACTTGGTTCTGTTTAAGGAAAAATCACGGTTTGCAAACGTTTGATAACGTAGAATAGCCGAACTCGGGGTTTGTCGTGTGGAACCACAATGAGGCCGCCGCGTTGTTGTATTGGGTACCATTAGCGGAGTAGGTACATGCACCGAGGTGCACGACCAGACAGGCCCCCATGGCTTGTGGAGACACCGTGAAAAGTGGGTCGGGGTGTCTGGAGGATGCGTTCACAGAGTTGATGGACGTGAATCAAAATGGTTCACCACACACCATTCACGAAGACACGTGATTCAACCGAATAAGGATCTGTTGAGGGCCCCGGCATGTTGTCTTGAACCACGCCGGGGCCACTGCAACAATCTAGGCCGAATACGTTGCCCTGCGTTCCCGCGAAGATAAAGAAGACCGGGGTGGAGAAGGCGCAACCGTTTACCAGACAGCTCAACCAAGTTGTGTTGCGTTGACCGGTAAAGTTGAGTGGACCAGTAGAAATACAGGCGTCTGAATGGTCACATGGATAAGGCGGGTGGTGGTGGTAAATACAGAGGTGTGAGCAGGCGGTCCCAGTGACTGACGTGTGAAAAGGGGGACGTGTGTGGGAGGCTACGACGATTCAACACGATTCGCTACAGATCTAAAGGTGCAATGTACATTCGGGGCAAAAGTTCCTATCAGCATCGTCGAGGCAACAACTCAGAAATACTGGCTGGTGGGATTAGATCAATAACGTATCATTTGTTGTAGATCCTACCATGGCGACTGTAAATAGATTGGAGTCGATTTAAATTTTTTAAAAATTTTGTGGCTAAACGGAGAGCACCTACATTAATCGCTACGATTAATGTTCGATTGAAAAACAGAACATGAATTTTAAACTCTGAGAGACGCTTGCCGCAGAGGTGGATGTGGTTTTCTCTTGCATAATGCAGGGCGTTGGACCAGTTACCGATCCTGTTATCATAATGTCTGCCGCTCGCGTTCCCACAAACGCACCGCGAAACCAGGAGGCCAACCAGTACAACGGCAGCGCGCTTCTCATAAAGTGGGCGCCCCCCCTGCTGAGCGGCGACGAGGGTCCCCTCTTGGGATACCGGCTCATCTACTGGCGGAGAAACGAGGAGTGCCTCGGCTTGGAGTCCGATATCGAACGCTTCGAACAGGGACAACGGCGCACCCTCTATGGCGGGGACCTGACGTCCGGTTTTATCATCGGCCTCGAACAGGACATCTATTATTGCGTCGCTGTTCAGGTGAGTCGCAAGTTACGGTACCTGGTGTAGTTGGCGCCTCAAATTAAGTCGACAATCAACGGCTCATACCAAACCTTTAATTCTAAATGTCGGCAGGGTTTTTTTAACAGTACAGTTGTTGTAAACACGTTTCCACTGTACAAGGATAAGGTGATTATACAAGAAGCTGATGCTGTGTGTGATAAAGGTGATCTGGGATAATTGACAGTTCAATGCCTTTTACCAGGCTTTCAATACCGCTGGGGACAGTCCACCTTCAGGTTTCGCAGAACAAACAACATACAAGCTCTGGCCACAGAGTTTCCCTACGATGGTTCAACTCAACAGCACCCGCTACCCACGGACAGTCCGCGTCAGCTGGATCGGGGTTCAGACCACCCTGAACGAGGAGGCCGTGCTCGGCTATCGCATTCGCTATTGGCTTGTGGGCGCCAATTACAAGGAGGCGCATACGGACGTGGATGTGCGAATGAGGACGTACGGCTACATTCAGAATCTGGAGATCAACAAGCGGTACAACCTAAGGGTGTATGCTTACAGTCGTGCAGGCGTTGGCAAGATGTCCTCACCCATTGTTCAGTTCCAAATGATCCCGAGAGACCAGTGCGTACCCGGAGCCTCGTGGGGTATGTCTAATTAATTCATTTACTGATGTACCATCGTAGGTATTAGTTGAATTAGTCGACTCTTGCGATCACGAGTGCCCTTAAAACAACTAATCCAACACTTTGTCTAACGCATCAACGACCTCCCCCACACTAACACAGAGGCAAAACCTCCCACGAACAACTCTCCGCCGTCTCGGCCGATAGCCGAGCGCACATTCAGATGCGCGCAATTATTTATGGAGTAGGCGACCTTGAGTATAATTCGGGCCAATGTTACATTTATGGATTAATGAACCAATAGGACAAAGGCGGTCAATATGAAGACAGAAGTAGATGTGTATAAATGCGAGTGACGATAAAAAATTATAAAATTGACTAAATTTTGAATGAAATAAGGGTAGAGAGGCTGAATTTCTAACACCCACAAATCGAGTTATTTTGTTTCGTTTAGATTTAGCTGGTACTAAGGAATTTAAGACTTATTGCATTTTAACGTAAATCTTAAACTTGATTGGACAATTTTTTGTGTTTCAGAGGGTCCGGACATCCACTACAATCTGGTTTGCTCAGCACTCAAGATGCACTCGTCACCGCTGACTGTGTTCTTGATAATAGTTCTCTTGCTTCGACAACTTTAACCCCAAAAGCACCTGCTTTATTTTGCATTTGTGACAACATACTGAAGGCTGTTTTCTATTGGATAAATCAATTTATATACCCTTTCAACTGGATAAAAGTTACGCGACCTGATAAGTTTCCGACCTTTTTCTTGCCTGCGTCATGTATAAATCCAGGCAAAGTAATGACTAGGTTGGTTAGGATGTGCGATAAAGTGTGGCTGAATTTATCGACATATTTGACACCACTGAATCCACATCCATCAGATTGGGGATTCATTACTCTATGTTTTTAAGTAGGCTAGCTGAGTTAACATTTCCAAATGGGCAAGCATACCTGTCCCGAATACTGTTATGCGTTCATTGACTTACGTCAAATCGAAATTCGCGTAAGATCTGCATTGCTTTCAGCCAAATGCAACCAACTCTCGGTAACCTCTGTATTTGTATAAGTTGACAAATAATATCAGGTATAAAGACGAGTAGTGGAGTCACTAATTCTACTTCACAGCAAGAACACCGTTCTGGACAAGGGTGCTGAGTTTTTCTTTCACCTCAGGAGGAGCTTGTTGAGCCAATCTAGAGTAAGAATGACAGAAAAACAGCATTAAACTGACTGATTTCTGAGTTCATGTATATGGGTGCATTGTGATACCCTATTGACCAGACAACAACGTAACCTCCTACAAAGGAAACTCACAGTTGGCCTTTTTCTGGGTCGGAGGAAAGAGCCTCGATAATCTTGTGGACTTCATCATCTTGCAATGCAGCACGCACCTTATCGATGGAAAGAACTTTGTTTACCTTCTCTTGGAGCTCTTTCTCTTCAGGACTCATCACCTCCTCGATCAGAGGTTTCTGAGGTTTAGGCGACACTTCTTCTCCGCCACCTCCTCCTCTTCCTTTCTCTTTTTCTTTTTCCTGCTCAATGGCCAACTTTTCAAAGTGCTCTCCTAAATGTAAGGGAAGCTCTCAGGTGCATTTAGTAGGGAACAGTGAGAAGTTTACTGGCTATTTCTTAAGTACATATCAAAATTTATATCCAAAAGTTTTATTCAATACTTACATTCAAAAACCACCAAACACAGTACTTTTGCTCTTATAAATGCTATTCGCAATTTTAACAACTTATTAACATGTTTGGGACTACGTGTGCATGATTAGTTGTATTTTTTGAACTTTAGCAGACAGTATAATTCCAGTATTAAAAGCACCCACGTCGATTTACTTAATTTATATGCTTTTACGCCGAAAATGTAACATTAAAGTAAATGGACTAGATTGAATACTTCCAATTTGGTGGCATTACCTAGCAGTGCAGCCAGGAGGCCGTTCAATGCAATGTAGATAAAACGCAAAAAAAATTTGTTTATTTTAAAAAAACCGAGTTTGATTTTTCTGTTGTCAACTAACTGTTATTAAAGGCAGCTGTTATAAACGTCTTACACGGAATCCCAATTGAAATTAATGCATGCAAAACAATCAGCCGTTGCCAGTAACAAAATTATTCAATGATAAATAATGATTAGGCAAAACAGTGTTACCTAAGACTGTTGCAAACTCATTAATGACGCTGATATCTTCGTTGATTTGCTGCTGGCCTGCGAATTTGTCAGGGTTTTTCTGGATTTCATTTAGTAGAGCCAGTTTTTGGGGGTTTGCCAACCACTTATTCAGTTTTGGGTTTGACTGGACTTTTTGCAATAAATCATCGGTTATCCATTCTGCAAAAGAAGATTAAAATTGTCTTGCTAAAGACAATTTATGGTAAACTTGCGAAAATTTTCAAAAAATGATAAAAAAGAAACATGATACAATATATAATGTCAAAGGTTTGCGCTTGTCTATTCTTTTCACACTTTTGAATATTTATTTCTTAAATGAGAACGCAATATAAGAAAACAGTAAAAAGTAAAGATGTTTCAACATTTTGCCTTATATCTCCCGTTCGCAAAATGGATTAAGTGCATTTTATTCCCATGACTGTACCACAAAGCAGACTTCAGTCTCTTATATAAATTAAAGAAATATTCAATACTTTTGATGATCAGCTTGCTAATAGCAAAGTTGTGGTCGCAATAACCAAAAATTGTTAACAAAATTACGCTATATCGCTTTATTCAATACTTAAACTAGCTATTTAAACAGAGGTTTAGCTGAATTAAAAACGTTGATCACCATTTTCTAGAATTCCACAATTTATGCAATACAACTAGATTTTGCCAATTAATATTATTTAAAAAGTTAAGAAAGGTCAATCACTACCTAAAACATAGCTTTATTCAATGCAATTTCATAAACACTACCATAGCTTGAAAACGCGTACCCTGATTATTTCTTGCATTGCAACTTGTTTCGGTCACATAAGGTTCATTTGACGACTTAGATACAGAAGCTGATTTGTTTGCTTTTTCTAAAGCCTTTCTAAATGCGGACCGGGTATTCACGTCAAGCTTTCGAAATGATGGAATAGAAAGACTTACTGTATCTGAAGTGGTCTCTTTTGATAGTTGCCTAGAAGTAGCCTCACAACAAGTGACTGCCGAACGGTTAGATATGAAAGCATTTTCACAATCTTCTAAATCTGGGATATCATTCTAAATTTTAATAATGACATATCGCCATAGACGCTTTACCGATTCCATCACAAGTAGTTGTCAAGGTTGTTAGTGTACTTAAATAATCGGTCAGCAGGTTTTAGAATGTTAAATCAATTTATAGTGGTTATTCATTAAATAATTACCGACGTGCAAAATTAAGGAGTAGAACAGCTTAGGCCGACTAGTAGCATATTTAAAAAGGAAAATTGCTGATGGAATTATTTGCAACAAAACCTGTATATTTGCCACGGATTAAGCCAATGGTAACATTTACGCACAAAGTATGTTTGCTAGAATAAAGGCGTTACAATGTTATATGAAAGTCAGGGATTTTTTGACAGCCTTCAAGTTATTAATAATAGTGCTTTTTTTAATTTTCAATGTTTGATGAATCTACTTGATCAAATGTGAACCAATTCAGCTTAAAAAGTTATTTTAAATCGTACTCTAGTGTAATCACAATGTTTATATCCAACAGGGAGGAAGCCACTCAATTAGTCAGTGTCAACAAACGGAGAGAGCTACTGATTTTACTGTGCTGTTTCCAAGCATATGGCAAAAAACATCAGTCGTCATTTGATATGATATATGAAAAAAACCTCTAATCGTAAAGCAACAAGCTAATAATTTTAACTTTTCCATGCGTAATTTTTTTAAAGCAATTTATGCTTACTTGGCAGAGGCAGGAAGTCTTCTCCTGTCTGCAAATGACTGCTTGTAAAGTTAAATGTAAAAAACAATGGCTGTAGGGCTTCCAGTACAGTGTACATCAGTTGGTATTCTCACAGTTTCTTTTATCTTCTGATTTCCTAAAAAAAGCAACATGTTGTGATTCATACATATAAGATGACAGAAGTGAAATTTCTGGTTTATGTTCAAGAGACAGGCTTTTTTGTAAAGCAAATACGTAAATACCACTTCAGTCCTAAGAAGTGCATCGGCTGCTACATATCCAAGAATTTTACTTTGAATTTGTTACAGCTAACTATATTACAAAATCACAAATTTTTGCGTTTTATTAATAAGCAAACAATACAGCAATAAGAAGTGAAGTTAAGGGTTTTATAACCACTATTAAATCTTTAAAGCTAATTCTAGTTTCGGGTCACCCCAAGTTCACGCCGGTTAATAATCAGTGCTGTTTATTTAACTATATTACTTCAGAGTTTGACTTTATTTTGCAAAATTATATTGGTTTTTGAATCTGTTAAGGTATTATCTGAATTGTCCAAAAGGGCACCAGATCGAACCACCAATAAACATGGCAATTGTTCGGCCAACTATCTTAAAAACGCTTTCGGTAATGTGAATGGCCCATCCGTAAAAGCCGCCTTTACTTTCGGTGAGGTGCCTTTCTGCGTTTTTTATTCTCGAAATGGACACTGATCTGTACGACGAGTTCGGGAATTATATTGGTCCAAACATTCTATCCGATGAAGAAGTTGAGGATGAGGACAGTGCTGCTGAAGAGGATCCAGAAGAAAAGGAAGACCACAGTCATGCAATACAACTTCTCGAACAAACAGACGAAGCTCTTGCGGTAAGTAATTGGGTTTCGCTCTTGAGGTTATGCAGTATGTTGAAATTTTACTCTAATACAGTCTGTCTTTCTTTAGGTGGTTTTGCATGATGACAAAAAGTACTATCCCAGCGCCATGGAAGTATACGGACCAGATGTGGAAACCTTGGTGCAGGAGGAAGATGCTCAGCCATTAACCCAGCCACTAATTGAGCCCATTAAGAAAAAAAATTTCGCCTACGGTGAATACTCACTTCCGGAGACTGTCTATGATCCAGAGTATCTCGCCGATTTAATGGATTGTCCGGAACTCATCCGAAATATCGCGTTTTGTGGCCATCTCCACCACGGAAAGGTTGTTTTTGCTTTCCCAACTTATGCTTTTTTAGACATCGTTTGTAGATTGTCTGGTGGAGCAAACTCATCCCGATATCCAAGCGAAGGAAGATAAGGATGTAAGTTTTGATCCCTTAACACGTTTGGTCGTTCTTTTCTACTTTAACTTTCATTTTCATTGTAGTTGCGTTATACAGACTATCTTAAGATCGAAATTGAAAGAGGCTTGAGTATAAAATCTACACCAATGACACTGGTTTTGCCTGATATGCGAAACAAGTCTTTCCTCATCAACATTTTTGACACTCCTGGTACGTTTGATACTCCTGCCCCAATGGCTATGACCTTCACGATATACATTTTCAGGATTTCATCTTACACGGCTAGATTTTCACTTTATTTAGTTTAATAAGCATGTTTTCGCAAATTCGAAGCTTGTTTCATGGTCATACTCCTTGGTATTTACTCTCGATTTGCGGATATCACTAGCCGTCTGATTTTTCTTTCCTCTAGTCTGTTGTTATCTCTTCCCAAGGTTCAGTGTTGACCTCCTAGCTGGATATGAGTTACCGCTTTAATTTTGAAGTTCGATAATGTTGCATGACCCCCTTGCCCAAAACGTCGCTGAAATTTACTTTCTGTGGTTAATATCTTCTTTATATTGCAATATCTTCTTTTGAACAATAAGCTCTGTGGGCCTGAATGCTTTTTTTTCAATGTTGAGTACCTGTATCATGCTGGATGGTATTACTTTCTAATCCATCATGCTATTTGAATTCTGGGGCAGTGGAGCTACTTTCACTTCAGCTTCATGCAACACCGTTGTGTCTCTCCGTGCTACCTAGGTCATGTGAATTTCTCCGATGAAGTTACCGCGGCCTTCCGCATCTGTGACGCTGTCTGCTTGTTCGTCGACGTCAGCGAGGGCGTTCTCATGAATACAGAGCGTCTTTTGAAACACGCTCTCCAGGAGCGCCTACCTATCTTACTCTGTCTGAATAAGATAGATAGACTCATTCTCGAACTCAAACTCCCCCCTAATGATGCCTACTACAAGATCAAAAACATTATTGATGAAGTTAACTCACTCATTTCCACGTTTTCTGAAGGTGTGGGTAAGTAAAGAGCAACTTAAGTCTCTTTGCTGCACAATAATGGTCTCCAGTTGCACTTTCAACCCTCTCAGTACGCCGTACTAAGGGCACCTTTACATTAGTCAATAGTATTAATAATATGTTTTTTTTGTATTTAGGCGTATCTCCCGGGCCACAGCACATGGTGAGTCCATTGCTAGGCAATGTTTGCTTCGCGAGCTCCTACTACAGGTTCTGCTTCACGCTGGAGTCGTTCGCCAAAATCTACACAGACACATTTGACGGCACAGTTGACTACAAAAGCTTTGCAAAACGCCTTTGGGGTGACCAGTACTTCAACTCTGAGACGTGAGTCACTTGCACGCCCCATCATTCTAATCCTGTCTGGAAAAAAAGTTCGCTATTGTAATGGCTGACGATTTTTTCATTTACTGTTTTGTTTTGAAGCAAAGCCTTTAAATCAAAGCCGCCAACCTCCTCGTCAGTGCGAAGCTTCGTGGAATTCATTCTGGAACCCATCTACAAGATTTTCGCACAAACCGCCGGCGATGTCGACACGTGTCTACCCGGACTCTGCAACGAACTCGGCATCCACCTCTCTAAGTCCGAGCTCAAACTGAACGTCCGCCCACTACTTCGGCTCATTTTCAGTCGATTTTTCGGCGACTTTTCTGGTTAGTTGGTTGTTTTATGTGCTGCGTTTTGTGCGAAAGTTGTAATGTTCAACGCGTGTGTTTATATGCCTGTATTCTTTTTCGTTGGCACTGGAAACCACTAAAGCATGTTTTAGAGAACTTTTTCGCGTTAAAATATCCATTTTGTTGGCAAAAATGTAATTTCAGTTTGTAAAAAGATTAACGTTTGCTTCGCATGACAACTGTCAATGGTTTGCCGAACCACATCAAGAGCTAAATTGCTTCAAAACAATTACTGTGAACACAAAGGTGTTAAGTATTTCGGGTTGCTTCCAAACAACCAAACGTCCAATGCACTAGCCTACTGTCACCAGCTAATGAAGACTGTCCGGAGTTGTCAAATCCTAATGGAGTTGTGTTCCACCAAAACAAGGGAAGACCTCACACATCTTTCATAATTCATGGAAGGTGATTGCAGCTTTGTTTCAAGGTGATGTTGAATCCCACATGTAGGTCCGTGTTTGCAAAACTCCGCACCGAAGAACTTCTAACTAGGATTAGTAAAAGTCGCCCATGGTCCACTTTTTTTGGTCATAAGAGTCAGTAGTTCTGCCAGTCCGGAATAACAAAGTGGTCAGATAGATTTCAAAATGACTTTAGACAAAGTGTCGATTTGTTAGTTTAGTAATGTTCATTCTTTGTCCACGCCATAAGACCGATGTTGCTGTCTTGGTAGTCCGTCAAGATGTGCTCATTTGTGTGATTGATTGGGTCCTCGGATATTGGTTCGTCTGTGATCCCTTGGTTTGCCTGTGTGTTATTCGGACCGTTTTGCTTGTTCCCAAGTGCACGCGCGTCCAACTCATGCAATTGTCTCTCATAGGTTTCGTTTCGATGTGCGTGGATCACGCTCCCAGTCCATTGGCTGGGGCCGCAGCGAAGGTCGCACACACTTACTCCGGTCCACTGGACTCTGCCATCGCACACGACATGATCGCCTGCAGGGCCGAGTCGCCCCATCTAATGGTGCACACCACAAAGCTCTACCCCGACGAGGATGCCGTCTCCTTCCACGCCTTCGGACGCGTCCTGTCGGGTCGGCTGGAGGCCGGTCACGATGTCAAGGTTCTTGGCGAGGCCTATTCCCTAGACGACGAAGAAGATTCTCGTCCTGCTGTCGTTGGACGGCTCTGGGTCCTTTGTGGCCGGTAGGTTTCCGGCACTTTTAAATGAAAGAGACTTGGAAGTTGACCTCATGACACAAGTCGTTTTTGTCTAGACAGTTTACCTCTGTTTCCGGTGGAGTAGATTTCCCAATGCGTGTCTGAGGTTTGTGGAGGCTTTTGTCTTATTGCATTTATACTGGAACCGAATGTATTTCGTCTAGAGTATGTAGCCCGTTTGTTGTGTTGCAGTTATCGTCTTGAGGTCAACCGCGTTCCCGCGGGTAACTGGGTGCTCATAGAAGGCGTCGACCAAGCCATCGTCAAGACGTCGACCATCACCTCCGCACACTCCAGTGGCGAGGTCTTCATCTTCCATCCACTCACATTCAACACCATCTCGATCGTCAAGATCTCCGTCGAGCCAGCCAACCCCTCTGAACTCCCGAAAATGCTCGATGGCCTGCGTAAAGTAATTGCTCTCAGCTGTTTCAAATAGGCTTCGATGGTGTTGATTTGCGGGGTTCCAATTTACTCAAAAACGTCAACAACTCAAGGACCTTGTTTTAGGCCCCAGCATGTGGTCGTAAACCACGCCGGGGCCACGGAACTAACCCTGGCCCGATTGCGATGAAGAAAATGAATGGAGAGGACTTGGACACAGCCATTTACTTCAGAGCTCAACCACGTTGGTGTCGTGTGTGGGTTTTGCGCCTGTGTATTTTTACCTCAGATGAGCTGACACCGAGACCTAGGTGTGAGGATAATCCAAGATAAATGTTCGTGTGAATGAAGGGGAAATTGGGGATTCGCGCGGCTGGCGCCATGCTGCGAAAAAGAGGAACCCTGTGTCAGAGGCGGAGCGATCGGATTAGGGGGTTGAATAAACAGGACTCACGACAACCTCATTGTTTACTTTTACCTACACCTCATTCTGAAGACCTAGTACTGCTAAGTGATGGGCAGAGCAACGGTTTTGAAGTTGCTGATGATTGGTGCTGTGTACCGGGAATTTGGGTGTTGATAAAGGGGAAAAAATGTAGGACCAGTTGTTGATCCGTCGGTTTATAGACCTGACCACTCCTCAGAAAGGTGATATTGATTTTCGTCTACAGGTAAACAAGAGTTATCCGCTGCTGATGACAAAAGTAGAGGAGTCTGGTGAGCGTATCATTCGTGGAACGGGCGAAATTTATCTCGACTGCGTGATGCATGACCTTCGCAAACTCTACTCTGATATTGGCAAGTCGTTTTGTGACATTTTCTGTTTAGCGTAGACGACACGTGCAGTAGTTCGCACAGGCAGTTTGCTACAGGTGCCTATTTTCGTTCAAATAGTCCCTGCAATCTCTAATCTGCATTTATCTCCTATGTTTATCAGGTGCCCTGTTCGATGTTTCAAATGAGATGGTGTCAAATGTTCCCGTTTTCACATATTCTGGGTGCTAAGTGTTTGTCGCCTTGCTCTTTCAGAGGTCAAGGTTGCTGATCCTGTTGTGGCCTTCTGCGAAACCGTTGTTGAAACTTCCTCGCTGAAGTGCTTCTCAGAGTCGCCGAACAAGAAGTAAGCTCACCCCCCCATGGCTCTTTGAGCAACCTTGCATGCCAGATGAATTTTGCGCAGTGTTTGCTCACAACCTACTTATCCCCCTTTACCACGACCTCGTTGATTCCGTCCACTTTATGCATGATGTCATTATTATTCTCTATATTCAAGGAACAAGCTTACAATGATTGCCGAGCCACTGGACAAGGGCCTAGCGGAGGATATTGAGAACAAGGTGGTTCGAATTGACTGGCCCAAGAAGCAGCTTGGTGAATTCTTCCTGAAGAAGTACGAGTGGGATTTGCTCGCTGCCAGGTAAGTCGCTGGTTTTTGTCCCAGGACGTTCTAACGCCCGCTCGTGCAGTCACAGGTGTCTTGTGTGCTTCTCAATTTACCCGTTGCCTCAGTTAAGCGAATTCGGGAGTTTCAATTCTAGTCATCTGTCTTCACTGGTGAACATAATTGCTAGCCAGCGAAAACCTTAGAGGCTCAGAGGCTAATCTACATTGGTTGTTTAACGGTGTGCCAACCTAATCTCTTCCAGATCTATTTGGGCCTTCGGACCAGATGCCACTGGCCCAAACATTCTCGTTGACGACACTCTTCCCTCTGAAGTGGACAAGGCGCTTCTCGGTTCAGTAAAGGACTACATTGTGCAGGTTAGATCACGCGATTGCCTTGTGGACAGTCCGAAAGAAGGCCATAATATCAACTAAATTGTTTTTTTTGTATGTGTAGGGTTTCCAATGGGGCACACGCGAGGGCCCGTTGTGCGATGAGCCGATCAGGAATGTCAAATTCAAGATCCTCGACGCCCTTATCTCAGGGGAGGCGCATCAGCGCGGCTCCGGTCAGATCATTCCGACGGCGCGTCGAGTCGCTTATTCGGCCTTCATGATGGCCACGCCTCGTCTCATGGAGCCCTACTACTACGTCGAGGTGCAGGCTCCAGCTGACTGCGTCTCTGCTGTGTACAACGTGCTCAATCTCCGGCGGTAGGCTTGGCTCCTTGCATCTTTTTTTCTCCGCATCTTCGTATCTTTGTTCTGACCCTTAGGTTTAAAAGCCTTCCGTAGCTCCGTGGATCGCATACCTGTGTCAGCTCACATGTTGAAATGTTGATTTTCACGCGGTATTCCGTCGCAAATAATTGAGAGAGTACTAACGGGCATCGATTTCTCACTTCGGAAGTCATTTTCCGATTGTGTGTTCACTGCTAATGTCCTCAGTTGATCCCTGTCACAGATGCCGGTCAGATTCCACCATTAACTTTCAGTGCTTGTTTTGACTGCTCTTTTTTGTTGAGAAAAAAGGTGTGTTGAGTGCGGTTTTGCACTGCATTGTTTTATTCACCAGCGGTCACGTGACCCAGGACGCCCCGATCTCCGGTTCCCCGCTGTACATTATCAAGGCTTTTCTGCCAGTGATTGACTCCTTCGGATTTGAGACCGACCTGCGGACGCACTCACAAGGCCAGGCCTTCTGCATGTCGGTCTTCAGCCACTGGCAGATGGTGCCTGGTGATCCCCTCGATCGCACCATCCAGATCCAGCCCCTCGTGGCCCAACCAGCGACCCACTTGGCCCGCGAGTTCATGATTAAGACGCGACGCAGAAAGGTGGGTGGCTTCGAGAAAACTCTTAGTGTTGGTGTGTGATGCGCATCCACAGACACAAGTGGTGGACCTTCTTACTCAAATACCCAACTCATCAACCGAAACCTAATGCAGTAGGCAAAAATATCACTTGCTTTCATGCATGTGCAGCTTTTACTGTCTTGGAAATTGAGACAACTGTCTCCAACTGTAGTAGGCAACTCGAATCTGGGTTGCTTCTGGAGCCGTAGTTTCAGTTTTGCTTGTCTCCACACTATTCTTATTTATTCCTATATACATCTGACTTTTTAGGGCCTAAACGAGGATGTCAGCATCAACAAGTTCTTCGACGACCCTATGCTGCTGGAATTCGCGAAACAGGATGTAATGTTAAGCTACGCTTTGTAACCATTCTCTGCTTTTATACACTTTCTGAATATACATACTCGTATCTAATGTATTTCGGTGTCGTAATTACCGGGTGGGGACGGTCCGCTTTTGGAAGAGGGTGGGTGACTACTAAGGCCATAAGCAATAGAAGGGGATTGACAACGGTGTTTACCGTGCAGATACTGGGATCACGAGCTGCTCACCCCCTGCCAATTTCGCACTAATTAGTACAATTAAACATCAAAAATGTGTAACAAGTCGCCTCGCAGCCGTGTTAATGATCCGAGACACGAAAAAACAACCACAAGAACATAGCCTATAGGCAGCATGAACCGCGACCGAAGCCAAAGTATACACCAAAATAGCTTCTAAAAGTGCCGCAAAGGGAGCTAAGAGAGCGTTGTTGAAAACGGTTTACAACGCGAGATTGACACTGCGTATAATCAGTGTAATCCACGATGTCCAAGAATAAAGGGGCGCAGTCACCTTAATAAACTAGCCCGCGTAAAGAACCTAAATCACCTCAGTTGATGCATTTCTACCAGTTCTTGGGAATCAGATAAGAGATCGAATCTGTAACTTGAAATCAACCTAATGGCATTCCAACCAACCAATACTTAAAAGGAAATGCAAAATACAAAACCACCTTTATTGAACGAAGCATTTACGACCTTGGCTTCTCTTTCTTGTGCTTGTACAATGCCAATAAAGAAACATTGGCAACCTTTACAACCTTGAAACGAACACCAGGAATGTCACCGACAGCGTGACCTTTACGACCAAATCCAGCGACCAAAACTTCGTCGTTTTCATCAATGAAGCTCAGGCAACCGTCATTCGGAACAAATGCCGTAATCTTCTTGCCATTTTTCAAGAGCTGAACACGAACGCATTTGCGAATGGCGGAGTTCGGCTGCTTAGCCTCAACGCCAATCTAGAATTTTTTTTAAAGATGATACAAAATCTCACCTTGTCGACAACAATGCCTTTAGCGTGAGAAGCCCCACCGAAAGGATTGGCCTTCCACCGAGTACCAAGATGAGCCTTTTTGTACTGTTTGTCAGCCCATCTTTGGGTGCGGCGATGAGTCCTTAATTT